ATTGGATCCTTCAGGCTCAGGAAAATGAGAGCATTTTGTCATTTGATTATTGGAAATGTCTCAGTTTTTAATTTACAATGGAATATTGTATACTCATTCCATCCTGGTAGGACAGTGACTGTTAGAGAATCTATACAAGTGTGTAACCAGACCATCACCAGCATCTTTATTGTGTTTTTACTGCAAAAATGGTCACTTAGAAGAGGACCATGAAGTGGAAAACAACTGCTGGGTGTCATTCCTTGGCATTTTTTTCCATGTTCAATTTTTCACTGATGCTGACTTGCTACATCCTCTGAAAAAAACAAGAAACTGAATTCCACTTCTAAGATGGGGCACTAAGAATAAATGAATGATTGCCTCCCACCCAGTTTCTGTTACATATATTTGGGATGATGCATATCTCAGTGGACTTTCTCAGGACTTGCTAGATTTCCATATCAGTAGAGGTGTGTTTGTGATAGAGAGTAAATTCTTATAGTTGCGTTAAGTAACAAGAAAGCATATGCAGGACAATCTGAAAATGGACACTTAAAATAAGCTAGAAGGTAAAGCAAGTAGCTTTTCTATATTTGATTAGCAATTAATAAAGATGCTACTTTATTCTGCCAGAATACTGCAAAACTAGTCCTTCATTATTACTAAAGATTTTAAGCTGAAAATAAACTGCAGTAGATTTATTGCATATCTGTGCTGTGTACGATTTTCTAGATTGTGCCTTGTGCCTGTTAGTTCAGCTTCTGCAGAATGTAGCTTTTGAGACTTAACTGATCAATACCTACTTGAGGTCTTCAAAGCCTCTTTGGATTTGCAGTTGATATCAGTAGAACAGGGACAAAAAAAAGCTGAAGTACAACAGTGAGATAGATGAATTCATACAGAAAAGAAATCAGAGAGATCCATCTGAAACTCTGCGGTGCCTGAGTTTGAGTTACTGTAAGTATTTGCAATAGTTGAAGACAGAAATTGGGTTTAAAAACAAAAATAGTTGATTTATAGAGGGATCATTTCTGAAGTAGAAGAACTGGGACACAATTGCTTGTATTCAGGATTCGTAGAGCATGATGTTGATGGAGTTCATAATCCTCAGTACAAGAGGGTCTTATAGCTGTGAGGCAGAAACAGTGGATTCTCATTCATCCCTTTCAATATATTCACTTACTCTTTCTATCCTGCTTTTCCTTTCACCCCCTATTCTATTTCATCCTCCTTTTTCTTTTCCCATTTTCCATACACATTAATGATTTGCCTGTTTACAAATATTTTTGCAAGTGAACAGAGAATGAAAGATCTGTGAAAAGCTGCTTTCTTTATTTTTCCCATTTGTTATTTCAAAATACAGAGGAAATTATAGGGAGGGGAATTAGAAAATGCCAAAAAAAAAGTGTATATCAAGTATTGGCATAGTTGTGCTATTTGAGAAATAGCATCTGTTCATACAGTCCAGAGCTGAGTTTTAATTCATATGTGTGAGGATCCAGAGTTTAGGCTACATATGAATTCCCTCCTTTTGGAGTACTGGGGTAGGGGAGAGGATGGGGAGGAGCAGGTTGTATACATAATTTCAACAGCAGCCAACCCCCCCCCCCCCCAAACCAAAAAACTCACCCAAAAAAACACCCAAAACCCATAGGAAAAAAGCAAGAATTATTTATCTTGATTTCCATACCCATCCTGAAAATCAGGGAAATTATTTGCTTAAAGTTTTCCACAAGATTTCACCTCTAGGCTTAAAACAATCACGGAAGATTTTAATTGATAACGTAATTGGTTTAGAAAGTTACTGGTCATTCATAACAGGGCTTTCGACTGGAAGTGTCACATCAACCATAACTAAAATAAAAATAACCACTGAATAACTGCTTTCTGGTAAGAATAAATTACGAGAACAAATTCATAGCCTTATGTGCACAATTCAAAATATTCAGCTGGAAGATTATCCTTACTGGGGAAGAATCCTTCCAAAAAAGAAATTTGATGAGGAACCCCTGTATACTATGGAAGAAGATTGTTTATCAACTTAAAGAAAAATGCACTTAGAATCATAGAATCACAGAATCGTTAAGGTTGGAAAAGACCCTTAAGATCACTGAGTCCAAATGTTAACCTATCACTGCCAAGTCCACCACTAAACCATGTCCTCAAGCACCACGTCTACCCGTCTTTTAAATACCTCCAGGGATGGAGACTCAACCACTTCCCTGGGCAGCCTGGTCCAGTGCCTGACTACCCTTTCGGTGAAGAAGTTTTTCCTAATATCCAACCTAAACCCGCCCTGGCGCAGCTTGAGGCTGTTTCCTCTCGTTCTATTTCTTGTTACTAGGGAGAAGAGACTGACCCCCACCTCGCTACAACCTCCTTTCAGGTAGTTGTAGAAAGCAATGAGGTCTCCTCTCAACCTCCTCTTCTCCAGACTAAACAACTCCAGTTCCCTCAGCCGCTCCTCATAAGACTTGTTCTTTAGACCCTCACCAACTTTGTTACCCTTCTTTGGACACGCTCCAGCACCTCGATGTCCTTCTTGTAGTGAGGGGCCCAAAACTGAACACAGTACTCAGGGTGTGGCCTCACCAGTGCTGAGTATGGGGGCACTATCACCTCCCTGAATCATCTCACCTCACTGATGCTCTATCAGGCATACATCCATGCAGTTTTGTGATACCAGAAAGGACTGCATGGTGATTAGACTGCTGGATGCATTATCTGCTTGCTGGATGGTGTGGAATATCTGGGCAGGCTCTTGGGGAAGGCTTGAGGGAGCCTTTGGACACAGTGTATGGAGCAATGACCTTGGGAAGGGAGGAAAGGGTTTCTGGAAGCAAAATGCATGCAGTTGGATGGTAAGTTGGAGGCCAGGAGCTCCATAGTAGCTTCAGCTGGAATGCCTCCAATACCATGAGCAGGGCTGAACTGAGAGAAACAGAGACAAATTCTCAACGAGTGGCTAGGAAATGGTTGAATGTCATTCCTTTAGTCCAGGCCAACTACATGAGGGTCCTTCCCCTCATCCACTAAGCGGGTCACCTTGTCATACAAGGAGACCAGGTTAGTGAAGCAGGACCTCCCTTTCATAAACCCATGCTGGCTGGGCCTGATCCCCTGGTTGTCCCGCACATGCTGCGTAATGGCACTCAGGATGATCTGCTCCATGACCTTCCCTGGCACTGAGGTCAGGCTGACAGGCCTGTAGTTCCCCAGATCCTCCTTCCGACCCTTGGGAGTGGAAGGGGAACAGGAAGGTGATGATGTTTGTTTATTTGCTGCTTTTGTTCATTTCTGAGTTATATAAACAGCAGTTTTAATTACAGTTTCTGAAATAGCATGTTTTATAGCGCTCTCAAACCTTAATGTTTTACTCTATCTGGACAGTCCCAACTAATTAGTCTTGTATTCAGGTAATGTTTCTTCATTGGTAACCCTGTGTGGTTTAATTTTCCACTATTTCAGACTAGGTGTGAAAGTCTTGTATTTCATTTATGTGCACACTGAAAGACCTGCATGATTTACTTGGAATTTTTATCTTCTATGTCCTTGGAAAATTGCTAGTATTTTTTGTTGTTTTTTTTTTTTTTTTTAATTTCTCAAAAACATATTGGGGTTTACTGCCAAACATAACAAATCTCACTGTAAGAAGCAACTGAAAGAGAAAGCTGTAAATGTTTGAAAGACAAATTTTAAAAGGAAGTGGAATTTCCAAATCAGCTACATTATTACTCAGCAAAAATTGCATGAAGGCAAGGCATAAGCAAATATACGTAACTGTTGTTACCACAAGCTTATAAAGACATTCCAGCCTTCCTTCAGATTTTCCCTACTGACGTTCTTCAGCGCCTATTTCCCTTCACTTGCCTGCATTTTTCCTAGATTTTGCAGATTTCCCTTCTCCTCTCTGGCCCTTTCACTGCTTTCTCTTTGCAGCTGCCGTTGTTCCATAGATTGGTAATGCTGTCGTGCTGTCAGCAGCGAAGCAAACCCTTCACTTCCCTGCCTCCCACTGTAGAAAATGCAAGAGAGTCCTTATATAAAATTTCCTCCATGCTTGTTGCATTTACTTGCCATGGCACCAAATAGTTAAACAGGCATTCCGCTCCTAATGGAACTAAGAGTATGTCGTTACACAGAAGTAGCAGTTTTTGAAGCATTATCAGAATTTGCAATGCATTTTTCTTTCGATGAAGCATCTTAAAAGAAAACAATAACATATTGGTCCCAAAGTGCTTTTGAACTTACTCTACCCTCTGTTCTTTGTCCTGTTTCTAGGGGCAAGTGTGGCAAACAGCAGATTTCATCCTTTTATCATCTGGTTCTCTGAGCCCCAAAATCAAACTGATCACCACAGCTGCAATAAATAAAGTGTCTATTCAATGAGTTATGATGCCAAATATTATTCAACATTCTTATGGTCAGGCACAGAGTCTGATGGAAAACAGCACATCTCACTTATTGCCTTTTTCCTTGCAATTAAAACTGCTGAGTAATCAGTAGACGACGCCAGATATGGGAAAGCAGAATATGAATAATGCCAATTTGCTTGGTTTTGTTTACACTTACTATTTAAAACAAAAATACCTATAGCAATATAGCTTTCATTAATTATGAAGCACAGGCAATGTGTTAACAATATCAGTCTTGAAGACTGTAAGAAATGTAATCTTATGTATCTACCTGTTCTGTCATAGTGCGTGATTTCTAATATCTTTTTCATTCATGGCCAGACATTTTTATGCAGCATTTGATTGGATATACATCTCATGGAATATATAGCACATTCTCTGATAGAAACTTAAATAGTTCAGTTCCAGCATTTGGGAATACACTGTACTTTTCTCTGACTTAATGGTTCTTCCTTTTTTGCTATCGTGCAAGGAGACAAATGATGGTGTGAATCATTTGGTTTAAATTGTTGCAGTCCAAAAGTATTTGTTTTAAATGCATTCTTTCTGAATTTTTTTTTAAAAAGTTCTGTTGTGTTTTTTTTTCTCTTTGTTTTCTTTTTCTAGGCTGAGGTTCAGCTATGCTATCTGGAAGCACAAAGAGATGCTGTTGAACAGATGTCCTTAAAGCTGTACAGTGAGCAGTACAACAGTAGTAGCAAGCGAAAGGAAGAGTTTGCTGATATGTCAAAAGTTCACACAGTGGGAAGTAATGGGTAGGGAACTATTCTTTTTGTTGTTTTATTCTCACTGATCTGTATTTTTTTTTACATGATATACTTTTTCTTACTTCTGGTTAACCAGGATTTTTCTTCCTAGGCCAAGAGGCAGGGGAAAACTATATTTATTTTTTTTTCCATATATGAATGCAAAAAATAATGGCTTCTGGATAATTCATCCAAATCATGGTTTGTTCATAGGATTACCTAACATTATCTAATAGCAATCCGTTATTTTGATTTTTGAAAATGTAATGTGTCCTTTTGCTTCAAGCTTTTCTCCTCCAATGACTTCATATCTTTTCATTTCTTAGCATCTTCCAAGGCAGCATCTTTACAATGTATTAATATCTCTGCAAGACAGTTCTCTATAATCATTATTCTACTAGTGACTAGGAAATATGAATGTGAAGCCATTCACTTATAGTCCACCAGTTCAAACATCCCAGTTTTGTACTTCTAGAAAGCTTTAATTTTTACTGTTTCCCCTTGACTCGGTCTTCTCAGTCTGTTTTTTAAAAAATGTAAACCCCCCCCCCCCCAATATTATATATGTAAGTGTATATATAAAAGCATTCATTCTTAATAGTTTGAGCAAAGAATCTTGGACAAAATAATCACTGGACTATGCTAAAATGAAATCTTGCTGCTCCTCCCTTTTTCACAACCAAGAAAACTGGTTGTTCTGGCTTAAGACTTTTTCTTGAAGGTCTTTTGAAAACCATATCTTCTAACTGCTAGCTCCGCTAAATGAACATAAGAATATACCTGTGCGTTCATAATAGTGTGGAGCAAAAGCAGTTTAAAGGAGCCAACTGGCGCTCATTGCTTGGGTACACTCTCATCCTGACAGAATTTTTCTTGTAACCAGTAAATACAGTAGAACTTTTGCCTGCAGTTTCCTATGCAAGGAAAATCATTGACCGAGGTGTTCATGAGTTCTTTATCTCCCGAACTTCCTTTTCCAATTGTTAACTCAATGTTGCGGTCTTGGAAACACAGTTTTATTAAATTACCGACTGTAAAGATAAATGAGCCTTGTAAACATCCCCTCTTATTATACGGAAAGATGACTGTTTTAGAAAAGTTGATGTGGGCTAATTATGTAGGATTACTGAGATCTTGATTACATATGCAGAAATCTGTCAGATTCTCAAACACGCCAGTGCAGCTAGTGCCAACCATAAAAATAATTTGTTCAGAATTGGTGTGTATATGTATATAAATGTGCACTGGGGTCTACACGTTCAAAAACAGCTTCTAATTTTGCAGCCACAGTTGAATGTGAGCAAGACTTAAGGTTGGAATTTTGTGTGGGACTTAAGACAGTAAGACTTCAACAAATGTTTGATTTTTTTGAGGATAGGGGATATAAAGCTTTCAGCCTCATGGAAAAATCCAGTTTGTAACTCTACATGCCACGTGTGTAAAGCAAATAGGCTCCTAAATATACTTGTTTGCACTTGTAATTACATGCTTGTCACTGGCAATGGTAACCTACTAGTGTTCCCTGCCTTTTCTGTGCTGTGGCCACCTTTCTGGGCCCTTATGGCCATCCCAGCCCTTAGAGGCTCAACAGTGGCTTAAGGGGCCAAAGGACCAGAGGGAGACAAATGCAATACCATGTGTTCAGCCATTGTAGAAACTAGGATGGGCTGAATTCAGATGGAAAACTTCCAGTTGAACCAGTCTGAGGTATTGTATTGAACACAATGGAGGTGCCTTTCAGCTATTTGAAAATACAGTTGACACAACATTTCCCTACTGCATAAAAACTGTGGACAGAAATTCCATAGTAGAATGACCTAGCTAGAGACTGATATCTCTACAGAGAAGGGGCCATTTGCATAACTGGGAAAATTAGGGTATCTATCCATTAGCTGTTGTGGAAGTTTGACCTAGGAGAAAGGAGAGAGTCTACAGGGAGAACAAGAGTTACTGTAGATGGAGAATTGTTTACATAGTGGGGGGAAAGATCTGGGAGGTGACTTTGTGTAGGAAATAGCTAAACTGAGATAGGTAAGGTAGTATCTGCAGAACAGGGTGATGCTAGTGCGTGTGTAAAGAACAGGAGATTTCCTGCAGAACAGCGATCTTGTTACAACAGCGACAGAAAGGATTTACGTGTATGTGCATGGAAATGGCTAAAGTGACAAGGAAAGAGAAGAGAATGAATATCCACTGCAGAAGAACACCAGCTAGCCAGGTAGCAAGAGGTAACCAAGAGTAGTTGAGAGCAGCTGCAAAATTTTATAGCAAATCTGGCTGGAAGTATTGCATCCCCTCAAAACTGGGGAGGAGTGTATACAGGTACTATTGGGAGATAGGGATACGATATTTACAGCACCATTGCACAACATGAAGGCCAGATCCTGGGATCCTGTCGTCACCTAGTATTGGGCCTTCATGGATGAGGCCTTGAGATAAATGCATTAGAGGGGGCTTCAAGTACGCACAGAATATAAGGCAATTTTAAAGCTGTTAAGGTCAGAACTCTGATTTCTCCTGTATCCTCCTAATAAAAATATGTGTATGGAAAGGAGTTCCAAAAAACAATGACCCAGAAACTTGGAAAAAATTTTTGTCTGGCTGAATTTTTTTTGGTAGGCATACGAATGTGTTTACAGTACTTCTAAATACCATGTGAGTTATGCCATCAAAGAAATAATACAAACTGGAAGTGTGTGTTAAACATGGGGAAAAAGGCTGATGGAAATAGCTTCACATTCCTTTTTATTTATTAATGCCACAGACGAACTGGTTTTCTCATGAGAAAGGTGCTCATGAATTTTCATTCAAAATAATAAATTGATGTCCACATTTTAAGAAATATGTTTAGGGTTCAAGGGATTAGACATGCAACTCTGCATATCTGATTCCCTGTTTACCAAAATAAAATATACTTCTTAATGTCATTTTAGTTACTATGTAGCTAACGGTTTTAGCTTATTAACCAACAAACCTATATTAAGGAAGCTTTAGTTACCTGCCCTTTAACTAATAGTATAGCATTCTTCTTGGCAATGTTTGGGTACTTTTAATGGAGGAATATTTTTTTGCAATAAACAGATGACCTAATTTAATCTTTTTTTAGTGATTCGTGGATTTGGGTAATCAACCAAAATTAGATCTTTTCTATAGTTCTTGCATCTGTAACATACATCAGTATTTCAGAAGTTATGCTTTCCCTGATTCTGCCTGTGGCAATATGAAAAAAAGTCTGCTAAGCCCAGAAAAAATAGATTCTGAATAAAAAAGAAATATTCAGTATACCACAGAAATACTGACAGGTACATTTTAATCTTAACCTGTCACTGATCCTACAATTGCTGGATTTTCTGAATATATTTTTAGCGGCTTAGTAACTCAGATCCTTTTCCAAATAGTAATTTAATAGTAATCAGTAGATCCATCCATTTAGATGTGAGGCATTAATTTTAAAAACAAAGCCTTTTGCTTTTTTTTTTTTTTTTTTAATATCAGAGTTACTTTAGAATTATTAAAAATATTGCAATCACATCTTAAAAAAAATATTGATGATGCTTTGTAGACTGACTTCACTATCTTTAGGCTCAGGCAAATAACTGCCATAGACAGTTTGCTTAAAAATGCTTCCAGATGACTTTATTTTACAGCAGAAAACCAAAAAAGAGAATAGGCACAGTATGTAAACTATGGGGGGGGGGGGAAAAAAAAAAAACCTTCATGATTGCAACGTGTGGGGGGGGGGGGGGGGGAAATCCCCATTACATCTTCCACCCCTTCCTGGGCTGTGAATCCTGTTTCTCTCAGACTTTGTTTTGGGTTGAGTTCCTGTTTAGAACTTTAGCTAGAAATCAAAATGTTCAACTGTTTCCTCGTGCTTAACTGGGTTTTATAAAGGTCAGGGAAAAGTGCTTTTGTGTGTATTTAAAGGATCGATTCATCCTATTACACCAATAAATAGACCAATTTGGACTGTAACTAAGATGTGATTCTATAGACGCAAAGCAGGTGTTCGGATCCAGTGCATCTTCTGCCTGTGACAGTAAAATCCCAGTCCACTTACTGGTGCAGTTTCCAAAGGCATCCCATCCAATTCTGGCAGCAGCAGGTCATGAACGTTGGATGTAGGCTTTGTTTCCTGCCATCTTCCTATCTTAATTTAGATTTTTCACTGGTACAAACTGTCCAAGTCCAACTGAATCTGTACCAATTTATATGAGATGAAGTCTAGCCTCTTATATCATAAAACATATGTTTTAATAACTGTCTGTCAGTTTTATGACTTTGGATAATATTTGGATAAGATGGAAGGGAAAAAAAGGAGCAGTAGATACCGAAGATACAGAATGGTTATACTGCTTTCTGAGGAAGGGATAAAGATTCAGTATCACTGCAAATATACCATTCAAAATGGAGTTTAGTTTTATTGTAGTTTCAAAATGATATCTGAGTGAAATACCTCCTGAAACAGGAGAAAAGCCCTGAACTCCAAATGAAACTATTATATTTCAACAATAGTAACTTGCCCTTTTATGCTTGCTCTTCTTTATAATAGCATCATTGCTTACCTTCTCAGGGCAGCAGGCAATTTTAAGTAAGTGCACCTCATAAATTATTGAGTAAAAGTATACTAAGTACAGTGGATTAAACTAGAGAGTTACTTCAGAAGCAGGAATCAACACTTGTGCATTATACAAGACTTCCTTTGTTGTCAACTCATTGAAAACAATACCACAGAAGGCATATGCTTTCTTCTCTCTTGCTTGCTTTCTTGCAGAAAGACAGTTCTACTTGTCACAACTTTATCTATAAGCTTTCAAAATTACCATGCATATGGTATTCTAGTTAATAACAACTGAAACTGCGATAGCATTAATAACATTAAAAACATATTTAGTTTATTGTTTGTTGAAATACTGCTCATTTTTTAATGAGGTTGTTAAAAAAAGTTGTTAATAATTGGAGAAATTAGCTTTAGTGGAACATGCACTATTGTTTGATCAATATGGGAGTTTTTTGATACTACTGACAAGGCTTTTGTTAGTTCCAGTTTTGCAAGTTTGAAGATTTCTTTTCAAGGGGTATCTTTTTGACGAATGTGCAGTTTTTCAGCATGTACCTTCTGTCTTGTATCACAGTGTTTTAGAAGAATCTATGCTTTACTTATTCACTAGGCTTTCAATAGAGAATCACATTAATCCTTTTAAGCTCCTTATTCTAATGATTTATTTTGTTGAAAACCGTAGTGATCCTCCTTTGAATTTTAATGATTGCTGGCTATTCAAGGATTCATTGTTTTGACTTCCTGTCCTTACCTTTGTTTCTTACATGTCTGTAGGGAACACCTGTCTAATACTGTATCTGGCCTTAGTTCTCACTGGCTTACCATATTCACTCAAGCCTATCTTAAGGCGTTAAGTTGAAATGCTAGCTACTCATCCATGAAAATAAATGTAGGATATTTACAGAGATAGGCAGACAGACAGCAGAGGGATGGCTGAATGGATTGAGTTATTTTTCAATGAAAATAATATTTTTATATGAATTCTATCAATATGATTGTTGCAAAGTTTGCTCAATATAAAGTCAGCACTTTAAAACCATTAAACAACAACATGTAGGGGGGATTTCTACTTCAAAATTTTTGAAGCAAATGCAGTATGCCAACAGTTGTCAGGATTTGGCATCAGCTGCTGAATTTGGGTCATGGCACTGGCTTAAATTGGACTTCAGTTTTCATTTTCATCCACTCTGTATAAATACAGAATGTCTCTTTAGAAATATAACTAGGAACATCATGAGTTTTCAAGAATATATTATTCTAATACAAGATTTTAACAACTACACAGTATTTATGCATAATACATTTTGTTCCTTATCTACAGCCTTTTGGACTTTGATTCAGAATACCAGGAGCTCTGGGATTGGCTGATTGACATGGAATCCATTGTGATGGACAGCCATGACCTGATGATGTCAGAGGAGCAGCAGCAGCATCTTTACAAGGTTAGCGCTACCGGTACTGCCTTTACCTAGCTATAGAAGATCTGATTAGCTTGACAAGTCTTTCTCTCACAGGATATCGCTGCGTTCATTGTATGTATCATGGTGTCTATTAGAATTCCCTTCCCTGTCCCCAACCTCATTTCCATCCCCTGTGCGCTGACAGGCTGCGCCGACATCATAATTGCAAGAAAGTTCCCTTTATCACATTCTATTTGGTGTAATTCTATAGAAGGACAAAGATTTGTCTTCAAGATGAATAGAAATAAATGAAACTGCATTAATAAATAGACTGAAACAAAATGAAGGAAAAAAATGAAATGGTAGCATTTAACAAAACGTGTTTTGATTGGAGCTTTCAGCTGGATTTTTATCCACCTTTCAGACCTCTTCTGGGAAGAAAGAAATTTGCCTTGATTTTGGTTTGCTGCTACCAGGATACAGGACTCTTCCAATTTAATTTTTATTAGTTATACATAAAGCAGACATTGTCATGTTAAGTCATCACACTTGCTTGTGATTTCAGCAAAAGGATTTTGAACTTGCATATTGATCTTCAATATGATTGCATATTGGTCTTCATCTAACACACATCTCTATATATATAAAAAAATACATACACACACACACACACACATGGTTTCTCTTATTTCTCATAGCAGCCTTAGCCCAGAAGCTTTATCACTTCTTTTAGATAGACAGCACTTTTAAGAAGCTCCCCCAAAAGTGTAATTTGGTCCTAAAATTGATTCAGGCTTTGCTGTTTGTCTGAGAAGCTGTAGTCTACAGGTCTGAGGGGTTTGGGGGGATAAAAGAAAGGAGGGGCTCTCAACAGAAATATCAGGCTGCAGTAAATCTTCCTCATTTAGGCAATTTTTATTGGAGTAATTCTGACAGTTGTCATCCTTGAATTGCTTTGAGCATATGGCATATTTCAAAGAGCAGATTGTGAATCATAAAAAATAAAATTAATAACTAACCACAGAATCAGCAACAGTATAATGACAAGAAACAACTACCCTCTAGCTTTTTTTTATTTCTTCTCGAGTAAATGGTACATTCAAGGTCAAATAGAAGTTGTTTTCTTTCTTCTATGATTGCATGATTTGATAATATCTTGAATAGAATTTATTTTTTCGTGCTTTGGCATCCTAACTTCTTGATGGTCTTCTTGCATTTTATTCTTTCTAATCTTAGTCGTTTTATTTAAAATACCCAGTGAGAAGGGGTTGTCACATCAGTTAAAATATGTTTATAAATGGAAATATGGTTCAGGTCCAAACTATTTTAGGCTGCGAGTTTAGTTCAGTGGCCTCCATTTCTTGCTTTGACAATCATTTCTTATTTTTGCTAATGTTCTTTTTCCTAACTTTCTAAATACTTAATCAGACTTAATCATATATTAACAGCTCTGGCCCTGGCTAGGCTCAGAAATAAACAATGTCAGAAATGGGTAAAAAGTTTCTTGCGAATCTAAAATAAGGTGTTTTGGTAGTGCCTGTCCATATAAGACCAGCTTGTGCCATGCCTAATCTCACCACTAGTTTAAATCCTATACTAAAAAGAGAAATAAACATAAATTTTAAGGAAACAATTCATCCACCAATATGAAAAGGAACAAAGCTTAAGCAGCCAGCCCCAAGTATTTTAGGTGCTATTTAGGATACTTCCCTTTCTGGTATCCAAATGTAACCATTAAGAATAATTATAGATAGTAAGGCTGGTATAATGATGCATGGTGAGAAGAATAAGAGAGGGCAATAATTTAAGAATTAGTTTGCAGTACAGTATGGTAGCAAAAAGAGGAACATTGTATATTCAAAATGGGAAGTAATAGTCTCTTAATGTTATGAAATTCTATATTGTGATAGGCATGACACTTCCGAAAGCAGAAAGTTTGTGCCAAAGAGAGTAGCTGAGTCTGTAGTCTGTGCAGCACAGACAAACCAGCACTGCTTCCAAAGCACAGGCAGCTTATTTGCTCTGCAGTTTCCGCAGGGAGGGCATCTGCTAATTAACAGAGCCCCCATCTCAAAAGTACCTACCTGGCAACTGCAAAACCACTTGAAGAAGGGTAGAAACAGACTGCCTGCCCTCCCGCGCTAAATATTCTCTGCATATACCTTTCCCGTGAAAGCAGCAAGCAAATTGTTAAGGATTGAAAGAAAGACTTAACTAGAAATGTGGAGTTTGATTAAGACATGACTAAGGAGTGTCCATAAAGCAGGAGGAGTATTTGCAGGTAATGTAAAAAGCCTGAGTGCATAGCATTAAGATCTATTAGCCTTTCAAAAAAAAAAAAAAAAAAACCACCTCCCGAAGAAGTGTTGAAAGCCCCATAATTTCAGACGTTTAAAAGTAGACAAAAGAAAACATTAGCAAATGCAATTGAGGGAACAATTCTGCACTAGCAGAGGAGAGATCAGATAAATCACTAGATCTTTATCATCCTTAATTTCACAGATTCTTGTAACAATAAATCACGCCCTCAAAAACAGTATTAATAGTTTTATAAAACTAGCATAGTAAACCTCTGTTCTAATCAGTAATGACACCCGTTTTATTTGGAGGCTTTTGTACAGAGTCGTGGATGGTCTAGTGCTCACAGCAAAGGAGCAGGAGCACTGCCTACACTTCACAGCGAACACAGCCATTCTGATCTGTAG